CCTTTTTTTTTTTTTTTTGGTAATTAATTTTTGTATTGATTCAATGATTGCAGAAATGAATGCTGTATTCAGGATCTTATCTATACACAGCGATGACTAGGAAGATTGTCATTTCTATAATGAAAGCATATTAAGAATGGGTGTGTCATTAGAAGTGTGGTTAAACAATGATGTATGTGGCATTGAGGGGTGGGTGCCGCAAGGTTCTGAGTCCCCTCCGCTTCCATTGAAGTCAGTGGGAGTTGAATGCACTCAGCACCTTACAGGATCAAGCTCTTAGAAAATGTATATTTACACAAGGAGAACAGTGTAAGTTAGTGATTATAGCGTAGGGCTGGGAGTCAGGAGAACCGGCTTCTAATCCTGACTCTGACTATCTGTATATCCTTGAGCAAGTCGCTTCCCTGTGCCTCAGTAAATTGATCTATAAAATGATCTTCCTGTAGTTACTGAGCCTACCTCATTAGGTGTTAAGGATTATGGTTGTGAAGGTGCTTTGTGTTCCGTGCATGGAAGGTTCAGCAATACATAAATGCAACATACTATTAACATTTCTTCCTGCTTAATATTTGTTCATTTCCCATTCACTTGAAGTGCGAATCTCTAGAAACGTTGACCTAGTCGGCTGGAAGCCCTCTTACCTGCCATTTAGTTGGAAGAAGAGCTTTTCAATTTCCCCCCCTTTTTCTTAATCATTAGAATTGCCAACAAGTTAACAAGCTGCTTTTATTTCCAACTCCCAGAGCAACTGTATCAAGATGAGGATTGTAATATAATGTTTCTTTGCACTGAAAAAAATCTAACACCAATTTCCACCTTTGAGACAATGAAATATTCTAATACATTTTATGTCCCAGCCCTGGGAACACAGCAGGAAAATATATTACAGCAGCAGCTGGCATGGTGTTTTAGCTAAGGGTCTATCCATGTTTCTATTATAAGCTCCACTTTTCAGCAGTTAGTGGGTTCCCAGGTTTTGTTGGTGTTTCCTCCCCCCCCCCGCACACACACATATAACTCAAATGAGTTCAAGTATTTTTTTTTAAAAAGTGGTTCTGTAGATTAGGGTGTTGTTGTTTTTTAAATGAGTTTGAAAAAATATGAAATGACTGGCTGATTCATTCCAAACACAGGTTAGGCTAAAGAGATTCTATATTACAGAACATGTAATGAGTAGTGTTATGGGGGCTGTCGTTTGGAAAGAAATCAAACGACCCGTCCTGCAACCCTTACTCATATGACTAATCCTTTTGAAGTCAGTGGGACTCATGGAGGTAAAGACTGCTTGTGTGAGAAGTGGATTGCGTGATCAGGTCCTTAGTCTGTAAATTCTTTTGGGGCAGGGACTGTGCTTGTCTGTAAAGCACCATGCACACCTATAGTGCTGTAGAAATAATAATGAATAAATAATATACGTTTGGGGGACAGATGTATTGCCCAGAGAGAAAAACAGACAGGTCTAGTGTGGGTAGGTGTTGCTTATGCTTCCTCCACAGAGTACCTCAAATCTTACTAGCAGATTTTTTATTTATTATGTTAACATATTATGTTTTGACTGTGTGCTCACTGCTGTACAATGCGTTGAGGCCTTTATTCAGCACAGTGCTTATCTTTAAGCCCCTGAGTAGTTCCATTGACTTATTAAGCACAAGTTTAAGTGCTCTGCTGAATTGGGGTCTAAATGGCCAGACAAAATACCTATGCAGATTCTCTAGATAAGCAGAGGAAGATTAACAGAGTGTTGCTATTATGTGTTTTGTTAATGAAAGGTTCTGTAAAAGCACTTATGAAAGAGGTGGGTTAAGACTGGTAGGTTTAGTGGAAAGCATATGTGTGGAGGGATTTTGGAACAAAGAGAAAGTGGTTATTTTTTGCACCAAAGGCTAGTGGGGAAGTTCCAGGTTTGCCTCTCCTGAGCAGAGATTGCCTGTCCATAACAACTTGTCTCAGACTGTGTGCTGTTTTTGTGATAGGGACAATAACTGTCCCCTGTGAAGTGCTAGAATGGGACCACTAATGTATTTTCATCACATGTAACCTCAACAGGATTTGAATCCATGTCTCCAAAGATGATGATGAATATATGTGCTCTCTTGAGTGGATACCTTCCAGGGTGGGGTGCTGTCAGAGCTTAGCAAACACGGTTAAGTGTAAATGGGTCCATTGCTATATGGGATCAAATTCCGATCTCCGGTACGCTGGTGTTAAACCTGAGAAACCCCAGTGGATTTACCCCATATCTACACCATTGTAACAGGTAGGGATTCTGGACTATTAAATTTGAAGGACCCTTAAACCTCATGCCATGTGGCCTGGTATGCCTTTTAATTTCCTTTTTGAAAGACAATTAGTTAAGGACCCAATCCGCCACTGTGCTTTGAGTACTGTAATTTCACATGGATTTGAGTTGAGGGCACTCAGTAATTCCCAGGAGATGCTCTGCACCTTAGATGATCAACCCCAAAAAAGGAAATTAAGGTCATGATATTCTATTGTGGTGTGGCCACTTGACACCACACAAGGGGCAGGTTGGCCATAAAGCTGGTTTAATTGGCCTGCTG